AAAGTTTGGGATAGAGCTGGTGGATGAGGCTGCACATGGTGGGATGGGGATGGGATCCCTCAGGATGTGTTTGCACCCCCAAAGTTTGGGATAGAGCTGATGGATGAGGCTGCACACAGTGGGATGGGATGGAGAGCATCCACTCACTGGGCTCAAGGAGCTCTCCTGGGTTTTGGGAGCAGGCTGGGATGTGGCAGGGGATCAGGTGGGCTGTGGGGGAGGCCACTTGCCTGGAAAACCCATGAAGGGCTGGGGATGGAGACCTGGCCATGCCTGCAGTGCTCCTGGGTGCATCAAGGAGAAACTGGAGCAGTCAAGGGGACAGCAGGTGCTCCTAGAGGGTCCTTCAGGCCTCTGGCTGAGGGGGTTGGTGCCACTCAGCTGCCCCTGGTGCTCATTTCAGCTGGACAACGAGTCCTCCATCACCGACACCATCTTCCAGTTCAGCACAGAGGAGCTGTGGCTGCTGCCCCTGCGGGACTTGGCTGTGTTTCACAACGGCGACGCCTCCCACCAGTTCGGTTTCACAGTCGGACCAGTTTGCTTCAGCTGAAACTGGTGCCACCCAAACTGAGCCAGCCAGTTCTCTCCCTACCCAAGAGCCATCCTGCTGGGGACACGTGTGGAGGGCTGGGGGTGGCACAGGGCTCCCACCCACTCCCTGGAGCTGCTGGTTCTCTCTGAGATCTGTGTTTGTAGCTGCATTATGCCACGGACTATGCTTCCTTCTGAAGTAGAAGAAGATTGTTTACAGAAGTCATTTCTCTATAAATTATATATATTATATATGTATATATTATAGATGAGAAGGTGCTGATTTAATGACTGCTTGGGGGAGGTTCATGTAATTATGAACACTGGGAACTGTCTGCTGAAAAAGAAACCAACAAGCAAAGCTCCTGCCAGCCTGGGAGGAGGGGCAGGAAAAGGGCTGTTCTTTGCCAGGGTCAAGTGCACAAATCCTTGGAGCCTTGTTTCCCCAGGACCTGGCAGAGAAACCAAATCAGCCCCAGTGAGCCTGGGCAGCTCCATGCACTGTTGCTGCTCCAGCCCAGCCAGGCACCAGGGGCTGCAAAGAGGTGAAGAATGCCAATTCCCCCCATGTCCTGCCTCTGGTTTGGGTCTGCAATTTACATGGAGGTCAGAGAGGAATTTTAATGGTGTAGATTCATGTGCTATAGCAAGACTGAGCTCCCCAGCAGCATTGCTGTGGATGAGCAAAGGCAGGAATTAAAGCTGTTTGCCTCCTGTGCTGCAGCACTGCTCCTTATCAGTAGTTTTGTTGTTCCCAGCAGTGTTTCTCTTGCCTCTAACTGTTGGCACAGGGTGAGTCCTGAGGGCAGAGAGAGCTTTACATGTGGCACCTGAGTCATGGCTGGAATACCAGCACCCCATTTCTCTCATGCACAGCCCCAAAATTCCCCTTTGGTCTGTCCTGCCTAGCTCCAGGGGAAAAACACATTATAGAATCCCACACTGGTTTGGGTTGGAACCTTAAAGCTCATCTTGTTCCATCCCCTGCCATGGGCAGGGACACCTTCCACTAGCCCAGGTTGCTCCAAGCCCCATCCAACCTGGTTTTGAACATTTCCAGGGATAGAGCAGCCACAGCTTCTCTGGGCAACCTGTGCCAGTGTCTCCCTACCCTCACAGGGAGGAATTCCTTCCCAATATCCCACTTTAACACTCTGTCAGTGTCACACCATTCCCTCTTGCCCTTTCCCTTCCTCCTCTAGTCCAAAGAGCTCCAGCTCTCTTGGAACCCCTTTAAACCCTCTAAGATTTCCCTGGAGCTTTCTCTTCTCCAGGCTGAACAACCCCAAAAATCCCTTCTACCCTTTTGCGGGTACACATCCACTCTGCTGCTGCTGCTGCCTCCGTGGGGACAAGCAGCAGAAACACTCGTGGGCGCTTTGACCAGCGCTGCGAACTGGCAGGAACGGGAGCAGGGAATGGAGAAGGGTGGAAAACGAAAGCGAAACCCTTGGAGTGTGGTTGGGGTCGGGACTCGCTTTTCCCCGCGGGGATGCTCAGCATCCCTGCATCCCCTGCATCCCTGCATCCCTGCATCCC